AGTTACAGCTATGCTCTCCTCTAACACACTAACCCTACCACCTCAGGACCCATATAGAGTGCGGCCCACTCCTAAGTCAGAAGTCATGCCTCTACTGCCCTTTGGTGCCCTACCTTCTACAATCTCAAGACTGTTATGGTGTGTCTGCATTTTCCTCAGGTGAGAAAACATTCCTCCATAAGGTCACCCACATCATCTCAGCAGGTGCTTCAAATGCCCACACTTCTACCACCAGAAGCCACACATCCGACAACCCTAACAAGCCACCTTCTTAGCCACCTTCTTTGTCACCTCAGGAAGAGTGTCTTCTGGTGAAGTCAGAGTCCAGACCTTCCATAGACAAACTGGAGCCAACCCAGTTGTCTCATCTGGAAATTATCACCAAGTGGTCCCAAGACCAAAGTTCTAGCATCATTTAGCTGATCTCAAACTAGCGGAGAAAGCAAAGACCAAAATGCCCACTCAGCAAAATGGGTCAGAAACTCATAATAATAACCACAGTCAATGGAAGATGCACAATTCCCAGAATAAAAGCACAGACAATATGAACTAAATCTAGAACTAACTAATTCTAGATTTAGGCTTCACCTAGCTTCCTGTACATGGTTTGGGGCTTGAGTCCAAAGCAGGTAATTAGAAATTAAGCTTGTGTATCCCAGATGTACTCAATAGAGTACATATATTGTACTCTATTTGGTCCTATAACCTCTCCAAGATATACTGCATATGACATTTTAAATGTTTAAGTTTTCTACAGACAAGAACATCTACAACATCTGATATTTCAGGCTGAAAACGCAAATTGTGCATAGAAACAGCTTAGGCTAACTTGTGCACGGACAATAGGACTTGGTCGGGCCACCGCTTCAATGGGTGGCACTTGAAAGTCCGTAATGGTAAACCGAGGAAAGACAGAAATGTCTCAGGTTCTATTCTAGACCTTTTAAGGCAGGTGATTTTGGGTAATATTCTTTCCATACACCATGCCATAATTACATTTTATACTTGGATGGTAGTCTGGGTATGACATAGGCTAGCACACACTCTTCCAGGTATAAATATAATGGGAGTAACTTACCTTTCCTGTAAGGCAAAGAGTTCCCAAGGCTACAGGGATTAACACCAACTTAAAACACTTCCCTGTGGAGAAAAAGCAATATAGTCCCACTTGGTGAGAATGTAAATCATCACCACCATCATAGACCGTAGTGTAGATGAAAAATGAAAAAAAAAGAAATGAAAATATTTTATCGAGGTGATGCCTGACTTTGTTTACTGTAGCACCATCCCTATAATTGGTGCATAAAGTTTACAAAATGCAATACGTATGTATTCCATAAATGAAACTGTGTGTACATAAATACATATGTGTATGGTATATATGGACTATTTATTACATACTAAAACAGAATGGAATCCTGTCATTTGTGGTAACAGGTAGAACTAGAAGACATTAAGTGAAATAAGGCAAACACAGAATGGGAGAGTTTACATGTTCTATCACATATGAAAGCTAAAAAGTGAATCAGAAGACAGAGCAGTGATTACTACAAGGTAGGAAGCAGGGAAGGCAAGAATGTTGGGGGGGGTTAGAACTAGAAATGAGGAATTTGAATGTTCCCAACAAAATCATAAATATTTAAGGAAATGGAAGTGTTTGACTTGACTTGATCATTACACGTGTATATGTATTAATTACCGTACAATAACTACATGAATAAAGCATGTAAATATGCACAGGTGTTAACATGTGCCAGTTAAAGGGTACAATCAGTGAAACACACAGTGCTGTGACCGGCAGTGCCAGAAGGTAGGCTTGTTTCAGGCTGGCTCCAGGCTTTGCTTGTCATAAAGCAGGTGATAAACAATATCTTCGTTACATTGTGCTGAGGCAAGGGAATTCTGCCTTTATGCCATGCATTTCCTTAGGTTTTGTAGTTATAAACTTTACAACCTGATAACTGAGCTTCTCTATTGCTGAATTTTTAGAAATAAAACTCCTAGAACTTTATTCCCTTGTGGAAAAAAGGAGATTTGGGGGTTAGAAAACATGCCCTTAAGAAGATAATTACTGCACTGGGTGTTGGTGGCGCATGCCTTTATTCCCACCAGAGGCAGGCGGATCTCTGTAAGA